CTTTCAGAATAGACATCATTGAGATGTTCTTGAAAGTATTTCTCCCATCTTTTTTTTTGTACCAGGGATTGAACTCAGGTCCATGCACTTGCAAGGCAGGTGGCGGAACCGCTGAGCTAAATCCCTGGCTTTCTCCCATCTTTTTCTGCCCAAATTTATACCCAACTCTGTCGCTCGACTAACAGAAAATCTCGTGTCACTGTCCCCCGCCATGACCTCATGCAGCTTGCACGCGGCCACTGGATCTGCAGTCACTCATCATGTCACTCTCCTCCTCAACAATGCCATGGTTTTTCTCTGCCTTATAACTGTACTGTCCGTCAGCCACAGGTGCCCATTTAAGCTTAAGGTTTAGTAAAACAAGATTCAAATTTCATTTCCTGTTCCACACTGGCCACATTTCAAGTGCCCCACAGCCACATGTAGCTTGCAGCCACTGCATGAGCGCAGATTGTAGAACATTTCCATCACTCTAGAAAGTTCAATGGACAACACTGGCCTAGCAGATAAAATTAAAACCCCTCAAAAAAGCACCCAAGACTGGCTGTCACTCAGAGTCAGCCTATACTTCCAAAATTGCCTGCTACTTTCCCTTAGCATTGACACGTGCCTTTGATCAGGCCAGACTTTCCTGCCGTCTAGCAAAGCACGCTCAACTCTGATTCTGGGCCTGTGTTCACCAGATTCCCTGTCACGGAGACAAATAAGTAAGTAAATCAGAAGGCGCAGTCACTAAAGAAGTGGGATTTTATGTTATGACAAAAACAATGAGACATTATGAAATTTTTTATCCCAGTGAAATGCTCTGTTAGCTAACAAGCCTGGGGAAAGGCTGAGAAGACTAATGAGCTTTAAGCTCATGAGGACTTGTGAGATGATTAAATGAAATGCCTCTAATCTTGGCACTTACTCAATACTTGATTTGGGTCACTTTTTGTTTTTCACATGGGAATGCATTTTTTTTTCTCCCAAATAAATTGCAAAGTCATGGGAAACAGAAATGAATTCTTACAGGCATTTCTTTTGCATCCTTTTCTTTCCTGCCTCTCTTTTCTACACTAATAGTAGTCAGAAGCTGCAAACTAGCTGCAGCTTGAGGGCCAGATATGTTCAAGACACATGCTATTTTGCCCAGTGGGTATTTTTAAAAAATACTGAATCAGTTTCCTATTTTAAAAAATGGGAAAATTTCACATTACAATCCTTATTTCCAGTTTCCTGAAAAATCTGAGGATATTGTAGAGCTGGACAAGCATCCATACATAGGTTGTCAGCAGTCTGTGAACGAAGGCATGTACTCCCTGGATGGCTCCCCTGGTTATTTCACTCCTTGTTAGCTGCCTGGACATTCCAGGCTTTTGTATTTACAACTCTTGAGGAAGACACACAGTAACAATTAAGAATGAAAACACTGGACTCTGTAAACACAGCCAGGCAGCCATTAATGACTATCTTAATGAGCAACATGTTTGTTTTAGGGACCTAAACTTAAATTTCTTATTTTAGTCCTTAGCTGAAGAGATTAACCTCTTAGGCTGAATTTAGCTCTTCTTCCTGAGCTGGCCAAGAGCTGATAATGGATTAGGGAAATGGTCAAGTGGAAGAACAAAAAGCCAGCCAGCATAAATAGTCATGTGTAAATAATTAAGACAACGGAGCATATAGAATTGTTCCACAAACACCGTGTTCCCTAAAAACATGTGGAAATCATAATTCTCATGATCCTGAGTGTTGCTGGCAGCTGCCCAATAAATCTGGGGCACTATGCAAAATACCTAAGCCAGCCGGTTTACCTAACTTGCACTGGTTTCTCCTCTTCTGACCACCTCACAGACTGCTGTGTTCTATAGTTGTTTCCATGCCTTGCTTCCCCCAATCACTCCTAAGTTCCTCCTACTCTCCTTTGGTATGGTACTCGTTCTTGGAGCAGTAGACAGGGGGTCCTTAACCTGGGATCCATGGGTTGCTTCAGTTATCAGAGCTTCTTATTAAACAGCTACGTTCCTGAAGGTTGGAGCTTCAGGACTAGAAAATAAATTTAACTTTAGAGTATTTGTGAAAGGACAAAGGTTAATGAAGTACATGATGGCCTTGACGACATTCATCTGATCTGCGAACTGTTATATCTAGTTTTCTTCATTATCTGTGCAAAGCAGAGCTTTCATTTTCCATTATGATCATGAGAAAAAATGCTAAGCTACACAGGGCATCTCAGGCATTGTGCTGGTAGAGACTACATGTATAGGGAGCAAAACTGCCAGTCTTTGAGACAATCAAACCAGGTACAAACAAACGAACCATAATCTATATTTTTCAATCTGTATTTTTCTCTATGTTGCCTGAGAGAATACCACAGAGATTCTCCAAGGCTTTTAAGCAAAGATTCATTAAATTTGAACGTTCTCATTATCTAGAGCTAATTTAAGGACTCTGTGATAACTGGAAATGTGGCTAATGTGACATAAACTATCTTGATAGACTTTGTCACATTTATAAAATGTATTTCTTCTCTAAATGCGTATAAACCATGTGTTTAGGGACTACTCAAATTTTGCTGGGGAACAATGTCTCATTTATCATCTGGTTTCTGGAATATACCTTTTCCTCAGTTTTAAAAATAGGGATATTATTTACTCCCCTCTTATTATATTTCTTCTCTTCTAAAACAAGTTCAAAGCTCACATACAACCGTTTCCCTCTTCTCAATTCTAATTCATTCATTTGGGAAATAGTTTATCTTGGCCTAGAGATAATCTCATTCACAATAGCAAACGTTTGTATTATCACCTCTCCTAACTCTGTCACTAACATCTTCTCCAGTTTGAAGATAGTTCTACTAAATGTGGAAGAATTAAACTGAATAATTCAGCTGAGCTTTGATCTGTCAGTAAAGTAATCCTTTCTTCCTTCAGTGTGTGTCAACACTATATTTACCAAGGGCTAAGGCTCTAGGAGATGTTCTGTCTCTTTTTGGTGCTTCTCTTAGAAATACCTCCCCCTCCATCACTTACATTCTGTTTAACATCAGAGATCACAGAAAAGATCCCTATACTATTACTTGCTTTTATAAATTGTTGGTGTTTTGTGTGTATGTATATGTTTGGTTCCCTTTAACTTTACCTTGCCTTTTGTCTACTGGAATTATTTGTCATCACCGAATCTGATTTGTACTGTTTATAACCTTCACAACATTGCTGAGACAAACTGCTGTTAGAGACATTAATCGTAGAATCATACCTACAATATTATTGGCAAAATGCTTCACTAAATTCTGGGGCAGGGTACAGTTAGAAAGCTCCCAGATTCCATGATTACAGTCTTTCTACTACCTCTGCATCATGGAAGAGCTCCTATAGGTCAGAATTGCATCAAAAATCTTGGTGCACTTTGGTGCTAATGAGAAGACTTCCAGGAAGTGACGTGAAGTAATGACAGGCCAGCAATTTAGCTGTCTCTCTGTTGGCCTCATGCTTGACTAGATTTCCACAGAGTCTTGCGTAAACAAGATATACTTGGTTTTTCACCTCTGTCTAAAAATGAACAATGGTGAATTGGCTGGCACATTTGGACAGATGCACACATTTTAGAAGACATAATGTGACATCTTGGAGCTCTTACATATTCACCCAGCTTTTCCTTAAGCAAAACACCCCTTTGGATGACAACCCCCCTGTTGGATCTAGGTCTGGATGAGTAAGAAAGGATGAGTAAAAAAGATATACCAATGAAAAAAATCAAGTTCTCCCATGTAAGAGCTGAACAGGAAATGTATCATGTTAGTTCTATGACCTGAATATGTGCTCCAAATAGACAATTCAAACATTTTACTACAAAACTTGCCAGTTATCAAACACAAGCAATAGTAAAACAAGAAATTAAAATATAATAAATTTTCAACAAAAACTTCTACTTCTCAGAGGGCAGGAGGGCAAAAATTTTTTAAAGCTGCAATGTACAGTCAATTTATAATCAAGAGCAGTGATGCTTGATAATATAGTTTATCCAGTAATGATTCTAAACATTAGCTGGCTTGCTAGGAGTCAAGACTTTATAAAATTTAGAATGGTCAGGTAAGATGCACTGGGAAGCCTACAGGGTGCTTTTTGTGAAATAGTCTAAAGACATGAATTCTGAGCTAAGAAAATGGGGAGGGACGGAACATTCCATATTTAAAATTTGTGTAAAATTCAAAGACAGAAAATACTTAAAAGACTGGTGGAAAGTACTGAGTCAATTAGAGAATTCACATAACACAGTGAACACTGCATGCCTTAAAATCCTTCTCCTTAGGAATAAGAAGGGTCTTTAAATAACTACCTTTCATTGAGGAAAACTTTAGTAGGTAAAAGACAGGTCCCCAAAGACACCAATCCCCTAATCATTGGGGCCTGTGAGTAGGTTATGTTATATGGCAGTGAGGAGTTAAGGTTGGAGGAGAAACTAAGGTTGCTAATCAGGGGACTTCATTCATTCATTTGAAATAGGGGGGATTGAACCCAGGGCTTTCTCACTAAGCTATGTTCTACTCCCTCCCCTCTTAATTTTTTAGTTTTGAGACAGAGTCTCCCTAAGGTGCTAAGTTGCCCAGGCTGGGCTTGAACTTGCAATCATTCTGCCTCAGTCTCACATAGTACTTGGATTCCAAGCACCAATGTGTCTGGCTAAATGAGTTCTTTAGAGTTATCCCACACGCTCTTGCTGGTTTTGAAACAGAAGAAAGCCTTGACACAGGAAATGCAGGCGGCCTCTAGAAGCTGGGAATAAGAGAGAAATGGATGACCCTTTAGATCTGCCAGCAAGTAATGCAGCTCTGCAGACACCAATAAGAACCCTGTCATCTTTACCTGCAGAACTATAAGATAATGCATTGTATTATTCAAGCCACCAAGGTGTGGCAGTTTGGTATAGCAGCAACAGGAAAACAAGACATTAACTCACAACTGCTCTGGAGGAAGAAAAGACTCTAATGGTATCAACATGACAAACAATAGAACACTCACCTTTTTATAGGTTTTTTCTTCATTTTGTTTTCCAGGTGCTGCATCTCCATTTTCAGCAGCTGACGACATCTATAAAGGAAAATATTCCCATGTGAATTTAAACAGTACTCTGAAATACAACTATTAATATAGCTAAATAAACAATATATTTTAAAAATGTTTTTGTTAGTACTGCTGTTTCTAAGAAAGGAAAAAAAGAAATTCTCAGAATACTTAAAAAAAAAACCTGTGTTCCTCAATCTTTCCAAAATAAATCTTAACTTCTAAATAGTTTTAGTGGTATACTTAACTCTGTTAGCTTTAAGAAATATGCTACAAAAGTCCAAGTCCCTATCACATATCTAAATGTGTTCCTACAAAGCCATTAAAAATTTTTTCTTCTGGTTATAAATGCTTATAGTAAAAATATCCAGAAAGTACCAAAATATATGAATTAGAGCAAAAAAATTACTCTTAATTCTACTTCCCTTAAACAACTCTACTATTCACATTTTAGCATATGTGTTTCTACTTTTCATTCTGTGCATTTTTATATAAATAGTACTGTATCACCTTACTATTTTTACTGAACATTGATATAATACACATTTTCCCATTTGATCATAAAAAGAAAGAGAAAACAAAGTAGTGAAGGTTAATATTATTTTAACATTAGTTTTAGCTCTTCACATTTCTTCTTTTGAGTTTTCTTTCTGTGTGTGTCCATCTATCTATTGCAGTCTTGGTACCATAAGTTACTGATTTTTTTTAACCTATTAGTTATTAATATTAGTGAGTTTCTGTAAATGCTTTTTTGTAGCTCATATAAAAGGGTTCCCTATTTGTAGTATACTGCAATTATATTTTTTACATCCAGCTTTAAGTGACCCTTGCTCCGGTGGCTTTGTGTAAATATGTTTGCCCTAGTTGAATTAAGAAACTTTAAGGGTTATAAAATGAAAACAAAACAAAAAAAAATAAAGTATTCGTTTTCTGCTAGATAAAAAAAATTGTGAGTTTCCTATTGATTTTTATGTTTTAAGGTTACAATCTGTTACCAAGCACCTTATTAATATTTTCCCATGTTGTTGAGTGCCTTTTAACTTGTTTTATAATTATGATTCAGAGTTTTGCAGTTTTGCATACTCAATATGGACCATCTTTATGATTTTTCTTAATATTTTGAATAAAATACTTTTTGCTCACTGACAGATATCACATGCTCAAACATGTATTACTCTCACTTTCATATTTACCTGATATGTATTTCTTTCTTTCATTTTTTTCTTTTACTTTTTTTGGGGTTTTTTTTGAGACAGAGTCTCATCTATGTTGTTGAGACTGACCTGGAACTCACTATGTAGCCCAGGCTGGTCTCGAACTCACAGTGATCCACCTGCCTCAGCCTCCCGAGTGCTGGGATTACAGGCGTGTGTCATCACCCCTGGCCCCTCATATGTATTTCTAATGACAGTTATTTCTGTGATAAACAAAGGTAACTGCAGGGCCGGGGATTCAGCTCAGCGGTTCTGCTGCCTGCTTCACAAGGGCAAAGTCTCGAGTTTGATCCCCGTTACCAAAAAAAAAAAAAAAGGTAACTGCATGTGCAGAGAACCACAATATGTAGGGTCGTATCTGAAATTGAATAAAGAGCATTTACTACACGAATGAGGGGTAAAACTTGTGGTTTTCATAGCTTCTCAGCCTTTTGGCTAAGATCAAGGAAAACTGATTTTCTTATAAGCCTTTAAAGCATGCTCTAAATCTGGGGCTTTTAATAAACACAGTGTTTGTTACACCAAAGAATTCACTGGCCATTTCTCTGCACTGCAAGTAAATGACTGAATTTACCCTGGCTGCCAGGAGCATGATGTGACTACAGCCATCCAGGACAATGAAAGCCACCTTACCAGGTTTACTACAATCCAGCCGTCAAACCACTCCCTGGCCTTCTTCACTTTTCATGTCTATGTGCAACCATTCAACCTGTCCATACTAGATGAGGGAACTTTCAAGGACAAATGCTTCACAAATACCTGCTTTCCGTTCATCTGCTTTATTTCTTTAAAGAAAAAGTGACCTTTCTAGCTTCTTTAGAACAATATTTTGGTGAATTCTGAATAAAATATTAGGAAAATTTAAATACCTTTTAAGAGGCTTTATAATATCAGGCTTAGGGTGAGAAACAAATGTTCAGCTGTTCAACAGAAGACCTCACTGAAGAATGCCACATCAGCCTTTCCCTCCTAGGGTTTTACAGCTTCTATAATGAAAGCACTTCTAGAGCAACTGTAAAAGGTGCTTGAGAAAACCATCTCAACAAGAAACTGACTTAATGCCGTGAGCGAAGGACAGATGATGTGATGGTCTTAAAGTATTTTTTAGTACTTTTTCAATCACCCCTGACTTGACGGGAGGGAAGAGGAGAGAAATGTATGAACTTCTATTTTTAAAAGTCAATTCCTTTTAGGGTGTACAAAAGACAATAATGATAAAGAAAGGCCATGAACTACCACAATTCAAAGTGTTTTGTGCTTTTTGTTCTTCCTTCTGTAGAATGATATTTGACAAAAGGCACGTGGACCTATTAATCAAAGACATCTGGGCAGAGAGGCAAATGAGTCGCTCAGGGAGGGGCTGGTGAACTGCTAAGGACTGCTATTTGTTCCTACACTTTTTATGTTTTCACATCACTTAAGGTGTTATCCTTTGCAGCTAAAGAAGCCAAGATAGGTACAGATTAAAAACATCATTTTAAAAGCCATTATAATCTTATATATTTCTATGTACACATAAAAGGAGGAGGCAAGACATTCTGGTGATTATCTACAGATGATTGCATTATACATTCTTTAGGTTTTCATGTTTAGATTTTGTTTTATTCTTCAAATATGTTTTAGTTCACATTGCTACATTTACATATAAGGAAAATATTAAAAATTTAACCACACTCCATAATTAATGGCAGAGACCACACATCACCTGGGTTTTTTCCCCCTTCAGATATGACAACATTTGTAAAACTTCTAGTTTCTGTTTGTTTTAAATTTGATAATGTCAAAGTTAAAGGCCATGAACTAGATACATGTTTTAGACTATTTGTAAATAAACACACAATAAACACAGTAAGAGCTATATACTGTGTCAGTCAGAATTAACTAAAAACATAGACTGTATTTCCTTACCTTTGTAAACAAAATGGCGAATCATCTGTAGTTGGTAGTGATGGGTGGCCTATTCATCATAGCTGAAACTCTTTTCTTTCCCAGGTTCCTGTTAAAAATAGAAATTACTAGTCAGTATTTATTCATATCCCTACCTGATCTCCCAAAATGCATCAGAGGTAGATATGATGTAACCAGCAAAAATAAAGCAAGGAACTTGTGCGAGGGAAAGACGATGATGTCAACAACACGGGCCGTGTACAGAATGTCGGCCACATGACCGGGATGATGTACAATAAAGGAGATAAGTCTCTACTGCTACTCTGTGGTCCTCAGCTGCTACACTAAAGGCAGACATGAGCAGTTACTAGATGCTCAACGTCCAACAGGTAAAAATCAAACTGTTGCTGAAACAGGTCCTGGGGGAAGGAGGTTGAAGTGCGATTTCATATAGGAGACTTCCAGGGGACATGCAGATAATTTTTCGATATTTTCCCTATGATAAACTGTGAGTTTTATCAGAGTTGCTTAGAATGCTCTGAGCTGTAATTATGAGATATTTTCTCATTGTAATAAACTTTTAAATTCAGAGCGATATAAAGCAAAAATAAATAAAGTCCCACCCTTTTCCTCTTCTGGTGATAACCAATGTTAACAGTTTGTTGTATAACCTTGCAGAATCTCTTCTATGCTTATTTATATACATACACACATGTGTGTGTGCATGCACACAAAAACAAACACACACTCTCATTTCGGCTTCTTGCTCTTATCAGTACATATTTTGCAATTTTATATAGTTTTTCAATTGTATGCATATACCTCATTTTAAAACAACTGCACTGTATTCCACAAGATCATCATTTAACCAAACATGCCTTTGTAGATGAACACTCAGGTTGTTCCCAGGGTTGGCTACTCTCACCAGATCACAAATAAACTGCCTTATTCAAACAGTTTAATGTTCCAGTGCTTTTGTTTCTGTGGGAAAGAATCCTAGGAGTGAAACTGTGGGACCAAATATGATATGCGCAGTAACTATTCCAATGACTATTGCTTCACTTCTCTCTGTAAAAAGGTCCAAGCAACCCATCCAATGGTGCATGAAGAGTACTTGTTATTGACATACTTGTGAGCACTGGATGCTGCCATCTTTACTGTTTCCCAACCTGATTGACAAACCATGGCATCCTGGTTGTTTTAATTCATGCTCTCTTGCTACTAATGTGTGGTATCTTTTTACAGCTTTATTGGTGATTTACATTTTCCATTCATGTTCTTTGCCTATTTTTATACCAAGCTGCAGATCAGTTTTTAAAATCTTTTAGTATATTAAACATTAACTGTTGCATGAATTGTAAGCAACTGTTCTTTTGGCTTTGTTTATAGGTTTCTTCTCGTATAGACAGTTTTTAAGTTTTGCAAGTTTTTAAATTTTACACAAGTTTTGCACAGTTAAATTTTCCTTTATGGGTTATGGTTTTACTGGCTTGAAAATTTTCGTCTATGGATTATAAAGTGACTTCCTCCTTACCTAATGTCATATATGTATTCTTTCATATTTTCTTCTGATGCTTTTATGATTTCATTTTTAACATTAAATCTTTACTCCAAATGGAATTTAATCTAAATGCAACTATCATCTGATAACTTCTCCAACATAATTTATTTTGTAATCTCTCTTTTCCCTACTAGAAAGACCATGCCACTTTTAGCATACACTGAGTTTTCCTACATACTTCAATCTATTTTGGGATTCTATTCCATTCCAAAGACTTATAGATTCCTGAGCTAATATATTGTTTTAAAAATATCTAGAATATATAAAAAACTCAAAAGAATTAGATTCCCCAAAATAAAAGATTCAATCAAAAATGGGAAAGTAAAATCAATAGACACTTCACAGAAGAAATACAAATGGATAACAAATACAAGAAGAAATGTCCAATACTACTGGCTAATAGGGAAATGCAGATTAAAACAACACTGAGATTTCCATCTTTCCCAAAAAGAATGGCCATCATCAAGAAATCAAAATAATAACAAAGGCTAGTAAGGCTACAGAGAAAAAGGAACCCTTCTACACTGCTGGTGGGAATGTAAACTAGTATAACCATTGCAGAAATCAGTATGGAGATTCCTCAAACAACTAAAACTAGAAATTCTATTTGACCAAGCTACTTCCCACTTCTTCTTGAAAGAGTTAAAGACATCACATTGCAGTGATAATACATATCCATGTTTACAGCAGCACAATTCACAATAGATAAACCTTGCATGTGGCCCACATGTCCATCAACAGATGAATGGGTAAAGAAAAAGTAAGTGATCTTCATACACAATGGAGTACTACTCTGTCATAAAGAAAAAAACTTGAGTCATTTGTTGAAAAATGGATGCACCTTGAAACCATAATGTTAAGTGAAATAAATGAGACACACCAGTTTAATTATTGCATGGTTCTATTATATAAGAAACCTAAAATATAAATAAAGACCAAAATAAAAGTCAGAAAATAGGAAGTAAGGAGACAGATCCAAAGATGGAGGGAGGGGAGAGGGAGAGGAGGGCAAGAGAATGAAAAAAAGTAATGAAGATGTGTTATGTAGATGTACCAACTCCCCACAAGGAATGGAAACATTATGTGTTGCAAACATGTACTAAAACAAAACAAAACAAATACAAGCAGATTATCTATAGGCTCAAGGTCCCCATGCTACTATTCTTTCAAGTTTGGCAATTTTCTTGCACATATATGTATATGTATA